GCACGGGGTTGTAGCGGGTGCCGACCAATTTCCTCACTGGATGCGTTGCTCCTCCGTAAGGTAATTGGGGACCAGAGCTGGCGAACAAAATTCAACGACGACTTTGGCTTCCGCGGGATGTGTCTCGCCCATGTATGTGGTGTATCGGAATCGGAGGAGATGGGTGTCCTTTGGTAAGGTAAAAGATTTTACATGGTCTAGCGGGAAAGATAAATTAGCAATGTTCCAGTATTGGGGAGCGAAAATGGAACATAAGAAACGGCGGATAATCCAAGAAGGGAAGAAAGTTGAAACATACTGCTAAGCAATGGCATTTCCCATGCCGCAATTCGGGCGTATTCTCTCAGCTCCCGGTGTTGTTCCAGCTCATCGTATGCCATAGTCGTCATCCCATCCTGCATGTAAGGCTCAGAGTGAAGCCTGTGAATATCGTCGTTAAAATAATCTTCAACGTCCTCGTTCCCGCCAGTCCAGCCTATAAACGGGGCTCCCTCTTTGTGGATTTCGCTCATAGTCTGTCCGAGACCTTGTTCACGCAGGGTCTGGGAGAGTGTCGTGAACTCACGGTCGAACGTTTCTCGCTGGTCCGGAGCCATTGCATCGTATTGAATACGTTCCGACTCATCAAGTAGGTCTGGAGAGTATTCGGGAACTTCGGTGAATTCATTTTGCTTCAGATGTCTGGAATGACTGAAAAATGCGAGGTGTTGTTGCAGTCGAAAAGCACTGGGTCGCATCGCGCTCCGTTTTGGAGCGGTCTGTCTACAGAAAACCAAAGCGGCCCGGCCGATAGATGTCGTTACCGAAGCCATTGGACCAAAATCGTAGCATATATCAAGATTCCAGACCTCGAGATCTCCCGCAAGACTAAACTATGGAGATAGCTTATGAGCCAAAAATATGGAAGTTTTGGTTTCATCCGGATAAATAAAATATCCGATCCTGAGAATATAACCACTCCTTGAACCAACGTATTCCTCTTCTTCTTCTTCTTCTTCAGCAAAGATTTCATGCGAGCTGGTATCGTGTGGTGAAAATCGGGTTTCTCCAAAAGCCATTGCTCTATGGCCTCTTTGAAGCAGGTAAAACTATGTTTTGTGACGGTTGGGGCCACAGCTCCATTCAACGCTCTTGTATCAGAGGTTCTTGGGGAGCCGTTCCTAGACGCGCTCAAGGCCAACAACTACACGGATCTTCGAATCCAATACGGCCAAATGGGACAAGCCCTGTTCCAGGAATTTGAACAGAAGAATGAACCTATGGTTAAGGAGAAATATGGACTGAATGTCACAGGGTTCGACTTTAACCTGGCTGGCCTCAAGGGGGAAATGCTCGCAGTTAAAGCCGATTCTGACGCAAACAAGGTCGATGGCTTGGTCGTCAGCCATGCTGGTACGTTGAATATTTCTTTTTCGACCGAGACCCAGATTTAGGCTGATGTATCTTCCATCTGCCCTCTATATGGCTGAAGGTTCAGGCACAATTCTTGAAGTTCTTCGCGTGGGTTTACCTCTTATTGTGGTCCCAAACCCTCAACTACTGCACAATCACCAAGACGAATTAGCAAAACAGCTAGCAGTCAATGGATACGTAATCCATGGCAAGCTTGGGTATGATGAACTTCCTCATCGCTGCTAGAGTGCGATATACGCTACGATTTCCGGGGAGTTTTCTAATCTAATTTCTAGGAGCCTGGCGGAGTCCATGGTGGAATCTGAAACTTTTCGGCAGCGCATGCATGAATGGCCTCCCAAGCATCAATCAAGAGCATGCCGGCAAGGGGCCTCGTCGGAGTGATGGAAGACGAGCTTGGTTTTGTGGATTGATGGCAAACCCAACCTTGAATTATATGCATTGACATAGTTTGTTGAGGCTGGCGATCGAGCTTGGGATATAGGATGTTTTTCATCGTTCTTGTTTGGTCTGATCAACCATTTGGCGATATGATCATTCCGTGGTTATAAGTAGAGAAATTGTGGGATGCGTGCATTGGACAATCACATTGAAACCGGGGGTAACTCCCCATTTGGCATTGCATGGCGTTTTTAAGAGCGGTACCAAAATCAATTGTTATTATTATCTGGTCAATGCCGACATTGCGCCCTATCTAAATCGATAGGGCTCCGTTTAAGGCGGGGCTAGATATTTCAGACTTAAGAGTATACCCCTATTGTCTGAGAGGCAGTCGTTCATCCGGCATTGACCAACGGGAGTCGAACACGGAAGCGTATTTACATCACTCGGCAGTTGAGCAGTGGTGAAAAAAAAGTAAGAGAGTAAACTTCAAATTATACCCAATAACTAGATCTACAAAGCTTACGGAATGGGAATTTCTTATTTTAACACCCATCTAAGTCTGTGGTATATTAATAAGTGTGGCCGCCATAGCCTTAGGCTGCATGCGGCCTGTGAAAAATATGAATAATAATAATAATAATAATAATAATAATAATAATAATAATAATAATAATAAGTCTGGTATTTGTACGGCATTGCTGTTGTTCGTGGTACCTGGTCCAAGCTCCAACCTCCCCAAAATAAAATAACTCCATGAATTGAGTTGCGCAGATGCTAAACAGACAAACCTCACGCCTTGAGAAATTCAACCTTCCACGCGCAATTCACGCCTTATTTCCACCATTCCACGATCGCACTACTACTTATCCCTCTACGACCGGTTGCGGCCTGCATCCGCGAGTGTCTCAACCCTAACGTCCATCCCTACGAGCCACAACCAACCGCCCCTTTAAGGTCTAACCCTAATCACATACATATTCCTACGAATCATGGCAGAAACGACTCTGCATAATGCACCTATAGTGCTTGACAATGGCAGTGGGACCATACGAGCTGGTTTCGCAGGCGAGGATCTTCCAAAATGTTATTTCCCTTCGTTCGTCGGTCGACCAAAACATCTCCGAGTCCTCGCTGGCGCGTTGGAAGGCGACGTATTTATTGGACAGAGAGCTCAAGAGCTACGAGGTCTCCTAAAAATTCGATATCCTCTCGAGCACGGAATCGTGACAGATTGGGATGACATGGAAAAGATTTGGCAGTGGGTTTACGAAGGGGAACTGAAGACGTTGAGCGAAGAGCATCCAGTCCTATTGACCGAGCCCCCGCTGAATCCGCGGACAAACCGAGACACGGCCGCACAGATTCTGTTTGAACAGTTTAATATACCTGCCCTTTACACGTCAATTCAGGCGGTGCTGTCACTCTATGCTTCGGGTCGAACAACCGGCATTGTGCTAGATTCTGGCGATGGTGTTTCCCATGCGGTCCCAGTCTACGAGGGCTTCGCTATGCCAAGTAGTATACGAAGAATTGATGTTGCGGGCCGTGATGTTACAGAGTATTTACAACTGCTCCTACGGAAAAACGGCTACGTATTCCATACGAGCGCTGAGAAGGAGGTGGTCAGGATGATTAAAGAGAAAACAGGCTATGTCGCCTTGGATCCGAAGAGAGAAGAAAAAGACTGGTCGACAAATGTCTCGAAGGTAGACTCTAAAACCCAGGAATATACTCTGCCGGACGGACACAAACTTAAGGTAAGCGCCACAATACCGGGCCCACCGCCCCGCATAGGGAACATTTTTCTGACAGGTTGGCATGGGATATCTAGGTTGGAGCGGAACGGTTTCGAGCTCCTGAAATTCTTTTTGATCCTGAAATTATCGGCCTTGAATATCCTGGCGTTCATCAAATCGTGGTAGATGCCATCAATCGGACCGACATGGACCTGCGCAAGGCGCTATTCGGCAATATTGTACTCTCCGGCGGCTCGACTCTATGTCGAGGTTTTGGAGATAGGTTACTTCATGAAGTTCAACGATTGGCTGTCAAGGACATGAGAATCAAGATTTTTGCCCCTCCGGAACGAAAATATAGTACATGGATCGGAGGCAGTATTCTTGCTGGTCTAAGCACTTTCAGAAAGGTACGTTCGAGTCCTCTTGAGACCCAACCTCAAAATTCGTATACCTTATGGTTCGTTTCAATCACACTCACCGCGTATTTTTAATTGTTCCAGATGTGGGTCAGCATCGATGATTGGCACGAGAATCCAGATATAATTCACACGAAGTTCAATTAGAAAGGAGAAGAATTGATGAGGTACTGCACTGTCAAGTCGACTCCACTCATTATTCCTCGCTGGACGAGCTATGCATGTGGACAGTCCCAGAGAGCAACTGCACGAAAATGCGCCCCAGAATTGAGAGCAGGTGGACAGAAATGGAGAAGGACCAGATCAGGAGTTATTAGATTAGCCGAGTCGTTTTGATACCCACCCCGCAGCCCCCTATTCCCCAACATATGTCGCGTTTCCCCTTTTACCCTTTTACAATCCATGCACAATTTGATTCGAAACATCTGATGCCCAATAGCAAGGTACATACTGCAGTATCCGTCGTTTGTCAGCTGTTTATGTCTGTACAGTACCAACATCTCTTTCCCATTGTGGATTTAAGCGCTTTGATCATTCTCTGTTCTCTTTCTTCCATTTCGCTTCTCGTCCTCAGTTATAGCAACTCAATGTTATCATACAGCCGCTATTATCTACCGCCCCTCATCCCTCTGTCGTCATTTCTCGAAATATACCACGGATTTGGAAATGGAGACGCATTGCCCTTTCAGCCAGAAAGGTTCTCTGAATGATGTCCGGTTTCCCCGTTTCCGCCCACTTTGCCTCTCTCTCTCTCTCGCATTATCTGGCAGATCCCTCTGCCCTACATACTGCCATTCCCTCTGAGACAAGAAGTTTCTCTTCGCGCTCCAATCTACGCCATTTTCTCGTTTGGTTTTATCTATTTTATTTTATTCCCTTTTGTTTTGGTTTTTGCTTCCTGGTTTCCTGTTGCTTTACTTCCTGGAGATTCTCGAGCAATTCTCTAGTCTGTATATAGATTTATTTTTTATTCTACTACATGTTCTCGAACCGATCTGTTGATTGCTCTAATGATTGAACAAAAAAAGCAAATTGAAGCGTGGCAAAAGAATATCTTAACGAGGAATTTCTAAAGACTATATTTTTTTGTTCGTGGCGATCATTCCTTAAATTTTCGGGCCAGAACGAAGGTAAACGAACTGAATAGAAGCGTTTTGCCCCGTATTCCTACCCCTACGGCTTTAGATATTGAGCATCAATATCGTTAGAACTCATCAACAGAATATATATATATATCGTCAGTGAATATCATTCATTCAAGCAGGTTAGTAGAAAGATAGAGAGGTAGGCAGATAATTCAGGGGTTCTCCCTTTACGGACTATCTGGGTCAAGTTGGCCCGGCCAAATGCAGGAGGAAAAA